GCCACACCGGCCTCCACCGCGCCCGCCTCCCGGAACAAGCCCTGCGGCCCGCGGCCGGGCGTGCGGCGGGGGCGGGCCTTGCGCAGAATGGAGGGCACCCATTGCTCGAATCGGCAAGGGGCGGGACTCCGAGCAAGACGGAGCTCGCCTGTTGGCCAGGAGGCTTGGAGGCATTGGTCGGAAGCAAGGCGGGGCGGAGCCACTCACGTGGGCCAGAAGAGCGCGAAGCTAGGCAGGGCCGCAGTTCCCCCAGCCAGCCTTCCATGGGGTTGGGGGCGTCGGTCGACCCTCTTCCCAGAGTGACGCTCCCCGCTGCTCAGCGTTTTGCCGCTTAGCCAGACGGGTTCAGATCCCTATCCTTTCCTCGAACCCCCACCAACATCCTGACCCCATTTGCAGAGCAGGAAACTGTGGCTCAGAGGGACCAAGTGACACACCCAGAAAGTGGCAGAGTCGGAAGTTAGGAGCCACAGGAAAAAAAGGCTACACAAAAATGTAAAATGTAAAATTTTTGCGGGGCAAAAAATATCAAAGTTGAAAGACAAGTTACAAACTTAATAAAATATTCGCAACACATGACAAAGGGCTGATGTCCTTACTATGTAAAAACTTTTGTTTTTTAAGATTTTATTTATTTAACAGACAGAAAGAGGGCAGGAGCAGGGGGGAAGCGGCAAAGGGATCGGGAGAAGCAGACTCCCCGCCCAGCAGGGAGCCTGATGTGGGGTCGATCCCAGGACCCTGAGATCATGACCTGAGCTCAAGGCAGACTCTTAACCTACTGAGCCACTCAGGTAGGGTGAGAAAGATGAAAGATGAAACTTTCTTTATGGGATACTTAGGTATTAAAATGGAAACATGCTAACTGGAATTAAAATAAAACTTTAAAAAAATAAAATGGAAACAGAAATGAACCAAGAAACAGACGCAAATTACAAAAGGCTCTTTAATATGTGAAAAAAAAAAAGGCTCCACCTGTCACTTAAAAATACAAGTAAAATTATAAATTTTTACCTATTGTCAATGATCAAAAAGCATGATAATACTCTTTGTAGCTGAGGATGTGGGGAAATGCATTCCCAGACCTGATTCAGTGTAAATTGGTACAACCTCTTTGGAAGGCAGCACCCTTTGAAGTTACAAGAATGAAAAACCACCTCAAAATCCAGCATTGGAACCTAGTCCTACAAATTATGGAATATCCTTAGAAAGGAATACCAGGCAAAAAGACTAAAGTAATCCAAAAGTATTACTGAGGAAGAATGGCCAAAAAGGATGTGAAAAAATATCCCCATGCTGAAGCCAGAAATTCCAACTGTCTTGAGCTCAATCTAACTCGGTTTTGATTTTCTAATGAAAATCTAATGATATTAGATTAGTTAAGGAAAAAGATAAAATTTTCATCATCTTTGGAACGATACCCCAAACCAGGAACAGTGGTTGCCTGTGGGCAGAAGGGAGACACTAAAATCCCAGTGGAAAAAAAAAGGCTTTCTTTCCACCATATAACCGTTTGTACTACTGGATTTTTTTGTCATGTGCATTTATTAACTAAAAAAAAAAAAGTCAGGCCTTCCTTCTGAGGATTCATAGAAAGGCATCACAGTGGCCATGAGCCCCTGGAATTGATATACAGAAATGTATATGTACGTTTTTACAGCTTGCTGAGGGGAAAAGGTCTGTAGATTGACAGAAGTGGTTCATTGACCTTGCCACAAATGTCTGAAGCCGTGGTCTGAAATGCAAGTATGTCTAGATAACCATTACCCTATTGGCACTAGCCCTCTACTGCTCAAACAGCCCTGAAAGCACCCTACTCATAACTGTAAGGTGCTTACCACATGCTAGGTCCTGTCTGTGGCATGTAACACACTCCAGTTGAATCCTCACAGCCACCAGAGCTTAAAACAGGGGTGTCAGTACAGATTACTGTCTGCTGGGACTGGAGCCCACTCAGCTCTGTTACATATCAGTACAAAGCTGATCTTGTTCGGGGACTACTGAATGCTTTCATGAAGCAAGATCTTCCCCTCGCCCTGACAAACCCAGGAAACAGAGGCTCAGAATAACTCCCTAACTTGACCCAAGATCACACAGCTACTAACACCAACATTTATAGCCACCCCCAACTCTTAGGCACTCCGTGATACCCCCTTAACATGGGTCCAGAGCCCCTTTTCCAAACAAATTCATCTGGACACAAAACTAATTGCAAAAGATCTGTTGACTTTACGAATGTATTTTTATTTTACAAAAAAAAAAAAGAAAATCACTACAGGATTATTTAAAATAGGACACACTGAATTTAAAATAGCATTTGTTTCACAAAAATATTTGCAACATGACTTTTCAGAAAAATACCCAGTCCATAAACCTTAGGTACGTGGAAGAAATATATGTTTAATGTCTTTATTTATTTTATAAAAAAGGATAAGTGCATTTTCAAAGTACTTCTACAACCATGTCTCACCTGTTCCTCTCAACAAGCCAAGGAAGGAAAATGAACAGGTGTTACTTATAAGAAAACCAAGGTTCCAGAAATTAAATAATTGATTTAAATAGCAACAGAACTGGACATAAAACTAGCTCTCTGATTCTTCATTCACCCATAAATAACACATACTCTCAAAAGCTCCACTAAAAATATTAGCATTAGTGGGATGGGACGATAAAGGTGCTGAGTAGGCATAAATAAATATCTGTGGGTTACAAGATTTCTGAGGGAGACGTGGAAAACCTGCAGAGCTCTTTGCGAGGTGTCTGGCATTTGTAAACTCCAGACTGTGAATTAAGAACTGCATTGGGACACAAGTTGAGAATCTTTCAGGCCATGGAAGTTTGCAGGTGGTTGTCAGCAAATAGGACCCAGAGAGACTTAACTTTGGAAAGTGCAACTGACAATCCTCCCTCAGTTCTTGAGGGGTGTGAGCTGAGTAACAGTATTACAACGCACACCCCAAAACCACAAAATTGCCCACATCCTGGGCCTATGGACCAGGGTTTCCGCTTCGGTCTCCTGGTCCCCAGCTCTGATTGACAAATCCCAGAAAAAATGATGACTTCATGGATTTTTGTGTCTTGAAAAGCTGAGGTCCCTTCTTCCCTAATTCACTCTGGCAAGATGGAAGCTTCTCTCCCTGGTCCAGGAAAGCTGATGTTTGGTGTTTCCTGGGAGATTATGATTCTGCCTCAGATCTTTTTCTTGATTTGGTGTTTGTCTTTCCAATCGAGGATAAGCTGTGCTCTAGTTATCAGGGGCCAAAAAGCTCAATGCTGTCCAGTTTCCCTTCTTTGTAGAACACGATATTCTCCATCAGTTTCTTTTTGGCCTCATTGATCTCGATTCTCCACGAAGTCTCTGTAGCTGATGTTCAGCAGAAAGTTTAAAGAAAGAACTTCAACAAAAGGCATTTGGAAATAGTTACTATTATTATAGTTCTTAGAAAGTCAGACTTGGTCAGTTTCTCACTTAAATCAGATTTCTGAATCAAGCCCTGAACCTAATGAACATTTTCATTATTTCTGCCTTTGCAGTGAAGTTCCACCACCTGCCCCCACTTTTCTGAAAGAAGGGGGCTTCCATGCTCCTTCCATGGATGGGAGAGGTTGGGATGAACATTTACACCCCCTCTCTCTTTTCCCTCCTCTCTCCTCCCAGTGGGAGGAGGAGCAATAGGAGTGGTAGAGCCTGGGACATTCATTAAGCCATGTTTACTAGGGGAGAGGGACACTGCATTGAAAAGGCCTCTCAAATTTTTATTTCAGAAGGAAGCCTGGGATATTTGGAAAGGAGAGACAGAAATAGTAAGAGTTTTGACTTGGTCCCTAAGTACAATGGGGAGCCACACAAGGGCTTCAAATAAGAGGTGGCATGAGTTGTTTTTAAAAACCACTCTGGAGGCACCTGGGCAGCTCAGTCATTAAGCGTCTGCCTTTGGCTCAGGTCATGATCCCAGGGTCCTGGGATCGAGCCCCGCATCAGGCTCCCTGCTCAGCGGGAAGCCTGCTTCTCCCTCTCCCACTCCCCCTGCTTGTGTTCCCTCTCTCGCTGAGTCTCTCTGTCAAATAAAGAAATAAAATCTTAAAAAAGAAAAAAAGAAAAAAAAACCACTCTGAAAATAAAAAATTAAAATAAAATAATAAAATAAAAAATAAAAACAAGGAAGGGAGGATACAGGAAGGCTGTGTGGTCATCCAGCAAGAGGACAGTAGCTTAGTTAAGGGGGGAGGGGCACGGGGCAATGCAGAGAAGCAGATGGAGCTGAGAGATATTTAGGCCAATGAATAGACTAGGTGATGGACTGGACATAGGGGCCAGAGAGAGAGGGAGGTATCAAGGATGACCCCCATCCAAGGTTTCTTTGTGTGCAGTCTGCTGGTAGGTGAACGGCTGAATAATTAAGGAAGGCATGAATGAGAGCGATAGAAGGAATAAATGATGAGCTGAGTTAGAGACACATGAATGAGCTTGCATATGCACTCAGATCCTCCACACGCTTACCATCCTGGGGAGGCTCCGGCCTGGCAGAGGCCGCAGAGAAGGAGTCTGCCTGCACTCCCGCACAGACCTGCAGCCTGCCTTCTCCATCCTCTGTTGAAGGGAGTGAGGCGGTAGCCCCAGCCCCAGGTGCTACCCTCATGGAGGAGGAGGCCTCGAGGCTGGAATTGTCCACGTCGTCTGTTTCTTCTGGGGTGTTGGAGGAAGAGCCTGTGCCCTCAGAAAGCCCACTCAAAGGGAGCAATGTCTCCTGACCTCTGAGCTGCTTTTCCACAGCCGCTACAGAGCCACACACCTTGGGGAGAGAAGAGACAACAATTCTTTCTGAAATCGGGGCGCCTGGATGGCTCAGTCCCTTACGCGTTGGACATTTTATCTCAGCTCAGGTCTTGATCTCAAGATTGTGAGTTCAAGCCCCATGTTGGGCTCCATGCTGGGCATGGAGGCCTACTTTAAAAAAAAAAAAAAAAAACCTCTTTCTGAAATCAAAAATCTTACAGATATCCCAGGCCTCCGGAGAGACAATGAAGAATCCAATGTTGATTCATATTGCTTTGTCTGGAAGAACAGCGAAAGCGCTTTGAACAGAGCTGAACTTGCCCCCATCCACCCTAGCCATAGATGAGAGCACATGACCAAGATGGACCAATCACTGTATCCCAGTCCTCTGACACGTTAATGATCCAGGTTTGGGCACGTGACCCAAGCTGGCCAATTAGAATCCTTCTCTGGGATTTTTCTACCTAAAGCTTACTGAGGAAGGACTCCGGATTCCTTTCTAGTGGTTGACCCAGACTCTCCACCCACAAAGAAAACCCATTCACAGTAGGAAAAAATAGAGACCCCTATAAAGAATAAAGCAGGGGCAAGAGATGGAGAAGTGGGGCGCAAGCACAGAGACACAGATAAATGCACCTTTGCTGGTGGAGACCCTGTGGTCTAGCTGGCCTAGCAATGCCTGTCCTGTCTGCTGATTGGTTACATGAGCCAATAAATTCATTCATTAATTTATCGTTCATTCACTCATTCATATACTCCCTCTCAATCTCCCTTGCTGTGCGAGTGTGTGTGTGTGAGAGAGAGAGAGAGACTAAGAGTTTGACCTGAGTTCTATCATTTTGAACTGGAAATGCCCTAAGTAATATAGATATTACTTGCCCTTGAGGGCGTTTCTAATTAGGGAGGTTAGGAAATCAGAAGGAGGCAGGGAAGGAATGTTTCTTCTTTGCACACACACACACACACACACAAACGGCATACAAGCATACCCTTAATAACAATGACACATCTCACTTGCTCAACACCTTTGCAATTTACAAAGAACATTCGACACAAAATGCACAATGAGTTTTCATAGGTTAAAAAATTAAAAGATCAGAGAAGCTGGGGTGCCTGGGTGGCTCTGTCAATTAAGCGTCTGCCTTTGGCTCAGGTCATGATTCCCAGAGTCTAGGGATCGAACCCAGCATCGGGCTCCCTGCTCAGCGGGAAGCCTGCTTCTCCCTCTGCCTCTGCCTGCAGCTCCCCCTGCTTGTGCTCTCTCTCTCTGTCAAATAAATAAATAAAATCCTTTTAAAAATAAATAAATAAAATAAAGATCAGAGAAGTTAAGTTCCTTGTCTAAGGCTACTCAGCCAGTAGGTAGCAGAGCTGACCACTGACCCTAGGCTTACTTGTCTTCAAGTTCATGACCCAGATGGCCTCTCATCTTCCTAGTTTGTTTGTGAAATACTGAGGGCAAGGACAATTTCTCATTCCTCTTTGTATACTTCAAATGCCCTATCCCCTTTATTCTACACAACAAATACCTCCACATCCTTCCAGGTCCAGTTCAAATGTCACCTCTTGAGACAAATCTTCACAGTATATGCTCAATAAATATTTGTCAAGCTAAAAGCTACATTCCCTTGCAGCTATGTGTGGCCATGTCACTAGATTATGGCCTATGGAGTGTGAGAAAAAGTGATGTGTGCATTTCCAGGTCACACCTTTAAAAGGTAGGGAGTGGGGATGCCTGGGTGGCTCAGTCAGTTAAGAGTCTGCCTTTGCTCAGGTCATGATCCCAGGATCCTTGCTCAGTGGGGAGCCTGCTTCTTCCTCTGCCTGCTGCTTCCCCTGCTGTGCTCTCTCTCTCTGACAAATAAATATATAAAATCTTAAAAAAAAAAAGCGGGTGGGTAGGGAGTGTGTTCTCTTTCTCTTAACCCCCTGTTCAGTGGCTGGAATGCAGATGTGATGGCCTGAGCTAGAGCAGCCATCTTAGACTCTGAACTGGAAGCCACACAGTAAGGATAGCAGAGCAACAATACAAAGGGAACCTGGGGTCCCCAATAAAGTGGCACTGTCACATCACCTCTGAACTGCCTACAGTCAAGGGGTTAAGCTAAAGAGAATAAACTTCTATCTCATTTAAAACACTGGATTTTGGAGTCTCCTCATTAAAACAGCTTCTTTGAGTGTCCTTTAACTGAGACAATGAACAAAAGAACAAAATAATTGAAGACAGGAAAGCCTGAAAGAAGGAATAAGTGGTTAGGGGAGAGAGATCTTTTCAGAACATAAATCTGATTATGTCTTGCCCCTGCTTCAAACCCCTAGTGTCTTCCTCAAAATCCTAACGGTGCCTGCAAAACCCTCAATTACAGGGCTCCTCCTTCCTCAGGAGCCCCACCACAAGCCACTCTTCCCCGTACTTTTTGTTCTAGCCACTCTGACCTTCCAGACCCTTGACCAAGCCAGGCTTTCTCTCACCTCAGGCCATTTGCATGAGCTGTTCCGTCTGCTTGGATTGCTCTTTATCTGCTTACACATCACTTCCTCAGGGAAAGTCCCCCTGGGTGGGGCCCCATCACATGCTATCCCAATGCTCCCCACCTAGATGATTACTGTGCATTGTCTGAGAGCTTCAGGAAAGTAGAACTGGGCCTGCCTTGTTCACTGATTTATCCCCTGGGGCCCAGCACACAAGAGCTAAATGACTGGCTGAATGCTATACTACTCAGGCACTGAGGGAACAGCCCCGGTGAAGAACAATGACTTGGATCTTGAGTCGCGGGTCTCTAGCTCCTGCCACGTCATAGTGCAAGATGGTGAATAAGGGAATGAACCAGGTGTCCAGAGGGCTCTGACAGAAACTCACTCTGTGGCCTCATCTTCTCTTCTCTGGAACTTTACTTCCTATAAAATGGCAGGCTAGGGCTACAGCAGTGGTGTTTGAAGATTTTTTTTTTTCAGCTACTAAAACTTCCCTCAGATAAAATACTGAGAATCCAATATGATTATGTGAAGTGAAAGGGGGTGTCCGGTGGTAGTCATGCGTGGGGCCCGCAGCTCCCCAAGCCCTCTTGCTGACGAAAGCAATTTCTGAGGTAACTTCAAGGCGCCCCTCTCTGCCAGACAACACTTGAAAATCACTCAGCTAGATGGCCTCAAAGAGTCCTCTCAGGCAGCTATTTGGTCCTTAGAAATATCTAGCAGTGGTGCCCAAATTACACATGTTACCATGGAAACCACCACTATATATCCCATCCATAGGAAAATGTTTTATTTCCTAATGTGGTGGATTTCTGGGGTATCTGCCTAAGCCCAGGGGCTAAAGATGCTCCCTTCCTCTGGGACTTAGCCCTTTCCACCTTTCTGGGGTAGACCCCCTGACCACTAGGTTTATATACTGGACCCCACTCCCCTCACCTTACCTGATTGGCCAACAGGTAGACTACTGACTCTAGGTAGGCCAAACAGGCTCTCTCAATGAGAAATTGGAATTGGGACCTGGAGACTTGATCGCTCAGTGGGGGTAGAACTATAACATATAAACAAGACAGCCATATCCCCTAGCCAAGAGGATAGAGGCAAGGAAAAGGGAGTCTACAGACAAGAGAGGAGGAATCAAGAAGATTCAGAGAAAGCAGTGTTCTGTTAACATCTGAGCCTGGGATCCTGGGCCCCCCAAGGGTGGGCAGCACATCACCCTCAGGCTCCTGAGCTACCCTTACCCATTCGCTTCCCTACTTTGCTTCTATGAGCTCCAGTACGACCTGTTGCTTGCAACCAAATACAGCCCTGGTTTATGAAGTGACTTCTAGGTAAAGGCCTCAACCCTGAGCCATACCCCAGTTCCTGGTAAAGCAGAACCATGCGGCCACCAGGACAGGAGGCCCACCCAACCCAGGGCAGGGCCCATGGCCGGGTGGGGCTGAGAAAGAGGCTCACCTCAGCCAAGCTGGCGTTCCGCCTCCTCAGGCAGAGGCAGGCGGCCATGGCCAAGGCCTCGGCGCAGTTGTCCAGCAGCCGCCCGGCTCCCTTCTCTAGGTACTTCCGGCAGATCTCCTTAGCCATCACCGTTTCCACGCCCGTCTTCCTGCCGCACAGCGAGGTCCTGCTGCTGGGGATTGCACTGAGGAGTAAATCCTTCTGCGGGAAGGAGAGGATAAGCATCCCCGTGTGAGCTGCAGGGATGCGGGATTTCACCGCACCTGGCCCAACGGCCCCCGCGACGGCGCCAGACCTGCAAAACCTCGAGGAAACCAGGATTTTAAGAAAGAAATGCAAGGATCCGGGGCGCCTGGGTGGCTCAGTCGTTAAGCGTCTGCCTTTGGCTCGGGTCATGGTCCCAGGGTCCTGGGATCGAGCCCCACGTCGGGCTCCCTGCTCCGTGGGAAGCCTGCTTCTCCCTCTCCCACTCCCCCTGCTTATGTTCCCTCTCTCGCTGTCTCTCTGGCAAATAAATAAATAAAATCTTTTAAAAAGAAAGAAAGAGGGCGCCTGGGTGGCTCAGTTGGTTAAGTGACTGCCTTCGGCTCAGGTCATGATCCTGGAGTCCCGGGATCGAGTCCCACATCGGGCTCCCTGCTTGGCGGGGAGTCTGCTTCCCCCTCTCCCACTCCCCGTTTGTGTTCCCTCTCTCGCTGTGTCTTTCTCTGTCAAATAAATAAATAAAATCTTAAAAAAAAATAAAATAAAAATTAAAAAAATAAAAAAATAAAAAAGAAAGAAAGAAAGAAATGCAAGGATCCAAGAAACAAGTAAAAAAGCCAGCGCTGGAGAATTGCTAAATTCCCTACACATACAGGGCATTCCATAGTACACTCCACCAAGGCAGGGGCTTAACCTAGGCCTCAGTTGCTTCATCAGGAAAATGGGGATAATAGGATCAACACAAAGATTAAAAGATATAATGCATCTAGGGGCGCCTGGGTGGCTCAGGTCAGGATCTCAGGGTCCTGGGATCCAGCAGGGAGTCTGCTTCTCCCTCTCCCTCTGCCCCTCCTACCCACCCCCCCAGCCACCCACTGGTGCTCGAGGGCTCTCTCTCTGAAATAAATAAATAAAATCTTAAAAAAAAAAAAAGATATAACGCATCTAAAGCATAAAGTGTGACACTTAACACAGAATAAAGATTCAATTGTCTATTAGTGATAATAATTAATAGTAATAATTAATAGCCACCATTTCTATACTACTACATGCTGGGTACTTTACTTACATCAATAATTTAATCTTATTAACAATTTCAGGCACGCTCTTTTATGACATAAAATACACACTTTAGGATGTAGGTTCTGACCCATGCATATTTATTTATTTATTAAAGTTTGAGAAGATTTATTTTTTTTAAGTTTTATTTATTTAAGTAATTTCTACATAAGGTGGGGCTGGAACTCACGACACTGATATCAAAAGTTGCATGCTCTTCCAAATGAACCAGCCAGGCAGCCCTAACCCAAGTATATTTAATAGGAGATCTACTATATAAATATTATGTACACTTATATATATATATTATAAATTTTGTATTTACATATAAGTTTTATAACATTTTATACTATATAGAAAGCAGGAATTATGCATATAACAGAAGATATGCTACATATTTTTACATAAATTTAAATTTATATTTAAAAATACATATATTGGGGCGCCTGGGTGGCTCAGTCGTTAAGCGTCTGCCTTCGGCTCGTTAAACGTCTGCCTTCAGCAGGGTCCTGGGATCAAGCCCCGCGTCAGGCTCCCTCCTCCACGGAGAGCTTGCTTCTCCCTCTCCCATTCCCCCTGCTTGTGTTCCCTCTCTCACTGTCTCTCTCTCTGTCAAATAAATAAATAAAATCCTTAGAAAAAAA